GTTGCCATGTTGTGAGGCGCCGTGTGTCCACAGAGCGGCCGGTGTGTCGAGCTGTCCTCTCCCCTCGGCGGGCGGACAGGTGTGTGTTGATGCCCGGCGCCCTCTATTCAGTGTGGGGATTCTGGTGAGGGGTTTCTGGTGAGGGGATTCTGGTGAGGGTCTGTCTTTTGACGGTTGATGGACCAGATGGCTTTGTAACTGAGAGCTTGGAGCTCAGGGACAGAGTTTCTCAGGTCCCCAGTGTCCGTCTATGCAGCAGGCCGAGCTGTAGCCTGACCCGCAGAGATGGGCACTTAATGTGGCTCAGCCGAACGGACGCGGGCAGACAGGCTGGCGTTCGGCCACAGGTCGGGGCCCCACTGCTCCATGGCCTCCTGAGGACGACTCTGGCCGGAGGAGGTGGAGGTCCTCAGGGGTCTTTTGAAAATCATAAAGGATGATGTTTCTTTACTTACGTATTTCTTTTTTTTTTAATTGTGGTAACATGCGCGTAACAAGAAATGGGCGTGAAGTCCACTCGCCCTGTCCTGCCACCACCTTCAGCATCCATCTCCAGAATAACTGTCTTGTGAAATGGAAACTCTGTCCCCATGAAACTCTAGGTCCCCATCCCCCCCCCAGCCCCTGGCCATCACCCTCCTACTCTCTGTCCCTATGAATGCGACCCCTCGGGCGCCTCGCATAGACGGAATCATGAAGTGGCTTCTTTCACTCGGCATAATGTCCTCAAGGGTCATCCTGGTGGTGGCAGGGGTCAGGATCTCCTTACTTTTGTGGGCTGAAGAACATTCCGGTGTGTGTATACACCATCTTTTGTTCATCCTCTCGTCCACCTGTCGGCATTCGGGGCGCTCTCATGCTTTAGCCGTTAGGAACAACACTGCTGTGAACGTGGGGGTGCACAGAACTTGCCGAGGCTCTGCTTTCTGTTTCACAGACCCAGAAGTGAAACTGCTGGGCTAGCTGGGGATTCTATTTTTTTTTTTTAAAGATTTTATTTATTTGACAGACAAAGATCACAAGTAGGCAGAGAGGCAGGCAGAGAGAGGAGGAAGCAGGCTCCCCGCTGAACAGAGAGCCCGACGTGGTGCTCGATCCCAGGACCCTGAGATCATGACCTGAGCCGAAGGCAGAGGCTCCAACCCACTGGCCCACCCAGGCACCCCTGGGGATTCTATTTTTGAGTTTTTGAGGACCCTCCATATGTTCTCCGCAGCAGCTGAACTAATTTTCCTTATTTTTTAGTGTAAGGGTCCAATATCCTGGCAGAAAAGCGTTGAGGCTGCTACACCAGACAGATCTGCATCTAGACCACGGCTAGGCAGTGTGGCCCCATCATTCAGCCTCGCTTAGTCCGGGGCCGCCCAACTTGTCACTTGTTTTTTTAGTTTCTCCTTTTTAATGGTGTCAGTCCTTGTTCATCTCATTTCCCACGACGCACAAGATCAGCAGAGGCAAAGGACGGAGGTACACGCTTCCCAAGGGGCCCCAAGTCTCCTGTTTCCTCCCGTGTCCACTCCCAAGCCCTGAGTCCATGTCCCGTTATTCCCCAGCTACTGCTGGCTCATCCCTGACCCTTCCAAGCCACTCAGCATGCTGCTGACATGTCGTCTTCAGTCACTTCTTCTGTCTCGTCTCTCTCTGGCTCCAAACACTGCCAGAGCTCCATTTCCCCCAGCTTAGGGGTGTGCACCTTCTCTGGGCATTCAGAGCCCCTGGCTAGTGCCCCAGCAGCCTGCCACCCCTGCCCAGGTCACCGGTCCTACCCCCACAGCAACCTCCCTCTCCCCAGGGGAGGAGGCTGTGTTCAAATATCATCTCCATCATCCCCTCCTCTGTAAACTGGGGCGCACCCCTAGCCCCTTCCTCCTCCGTCAGGTGGGGATAAGGAGCTTCCTCACTCATCGGGGGGTTCCACAGGGCAGGCACCGCTTCAGGCGTCTGGGTGAGCTGCTGAGAGACCCCAGCCAGCCACAGCCCCCAGGAAGGAGGGTCCAGCCCTGCTGTGCGCTGCTGGCCCGGCTGTCCGTGGGTGTGAGAGGAGAACCACCTTCGGCTCCCAAGTCTCCCTGCTCTGTGCCTGTAACATGGAGGGGCCACTTCCTCCGTGGTTCTCACACTTGAGTGGGCATTTGCATGGAGGGAGGAACTTTCCTAGAAATACAGATTCTCGTGCCCCCCGCCCCCCGCCACTTCCCACCTGGTGATCTAAATTTGGATTAGGTGGGACTTGGGCATCTGCATTGTTTTCAGCTTTCCTGAGAAATCGTTGAGACCCATCACGGTGCGAGGTTGAGGCGTGCAGCGTGATGGTTTCGCGGCCGTCTGCTGTGAAGTGATCAGCACGGGAGGCTCTGCTAACATCCAGTTGCTCCTACAGATACGACACAAAGACACAAAGCCCTTGTCTCCATGTGGCGAGAACTCAGGATTTTTCCGTTCCTCCAAGTTCCACAGCAGGGTTGGCTACGAGACACGCTCCGGTGCTTCCTTCCCTTGCACGTGGGGTTTGGAACCCTCTGACCCCCTCCTCCAGCTCTCTCACTCCCCCATAACCACACGTCTGATCTCTTTTCCTGAGTTTGTTTGTTGTTTTTGTTTGAGATCCTACGTATCCGTATCCGTGAGATCCTGCAGTGTTTGCCTTTCTCCGTCTGGCTTATCTCACTTAGCGAGATGAAGGCATCATGTTGTCACGAGTGGTAGGGTTTCCTCAGTTTTTATGGCTGAATAATATTCCATTGTGCACACACGCACCATGATGTCTCTATCCATCTCTCCATCTGTAGACATGTCTTGGCTACTGTAAATGATGCTGCAGTGAACTTGGGGAGCGGATATCTCTTTGAATTAATGTTTTCATTTTCCCCAGAATGGGGTTGCTGGACCATATGGTCGTTGTGTGTTTCATTTTTTGAGGACTGTCCATACTGTAAATGGCTGCACCCATTTATAATCCCAGCAGCAGAGCACGAGGGTTCCTTTTCCTCCGCATCCTTGACAACACTGGGTATCTCTCGTCTGTGTCTTTTGATCATGGCCATTCTGACGGGTGGGAGGTAACATCTCGTCGTGGTTTTGATTGGCATTTCCCTTAGTATCTTCTCATGTGTCTGTTGGCCGTCTGGGTGTCTTCTTTGGAGAAGCGTCTGTTCAGGTCCTTTGCCCATGTTTTAATTGGGTGGTTTTTCTGCTACCGAGTTGGATGAATTCTCTCTGTATTTTGGAGATTAACCTGTTATCAAGCACACTGTTTGCAGGTATTTTCTCCCATTCCACGGGTTGTCTTTTCACTCTGTGCATGGTTTCCTTTGCTCTACAGAAGGTTGTCCCACGTGTTTATTTTTTGCTTCAGTTGCTTGAGCTTTAGGTGTCACATCCGAGAAACCATCACTAGGACCCACGGTGGGGGAGCTTTGTGTCTGTGTTTCCTTCCAGAAATTTCGTGGTTTCAGGTCTTACATTTAAGTCTTTGATCCATGTCGGGTTAATTTTTGTGAGTGGTGTGAGGTAGGGGTCCAGCTCCATTGTTTCGCATGTGAATATCCAGTTATCCCAGCACCACTGATCAAGAGACCATCTTCTCTCCTGTTCAGCATCCTTGTCAAAGACTAAGTGACTGTACATCCCTGGGTTTATTTCCAGGCTCTCAGTTCTGTTCCACTGGTCTGTTTTTTTGCCAATATGATATTTGTTTGCTTATTGTAGCTCTCTGTATATCTTTTAAAAAATTATTTATTTGAGAGAGAGAGAGATCGAGCGCACCCAGGAGCTCTTCTGGGCAGACGGGGCTGTCTCATCCCTTGTCTGGGTGAGGGTAGGAGGCTGCTCCGGGCAACTCTCACTTCCCCAGACTCTCCATTTGGGAGGGGCCAGGAGCTACCCTCAGCCTCGGCCAGGAATTCATGACCCTGCCTCTGTGGACCAGAGAGACCGTCCACAGCAGGGACAGGCTTTGCCCTGGGGGTAATCAGCTTGCCTGCCTGCCTCGGCACATGTTCCTTCCTGCCCTCTGGTCACACGTGGCTGGGAGACCCTCTCTGGGAGACCGTCTCTGGGTGTCCAGTGTCTGGAGATTAGGGTGGGGACCCAGTGACCTAGAGGGTGAGAACCTGTAAAGGAGGTGGTTGGGGGGTGGGCTCTGGACTGGGGGCGGTCAAGTGCTAGCTCTAGGGTTAGTCTGTCCGGGAGCAGCATGGGAGACTGGTACAGACGGGGGGTGGGGAGCAGACTAGCTTTTCTGCAGGGTGGCCGCAGGGCTCAGAGCCCACGGAGGAGAGAGCCTGGCTCCGGAAGATGTCACTAAGTGCAGCACTAGCACGTGCAGGGATCTGGGAAGTCCTACTGGCTAAGGGACCTGGACACACATGCTATGTTGCTTTGCGGCTTGTGGATATTCAGCAAGTCTTGGGCCCCCTGTCCCTCCCCTTGCAGGTCTGGTGTGTCTAGGGGAACCCCGTCAGAGATGGGTCTCTAAACACGGGCACCGGCCTGCGCCTTCTTCACCCTGCAGGAACCTGGGTCTCTGCTCCTGTCCCTTTGCAATTAGTGAGTGTGCTGGGGGGTCACTTCCTGAATTTGCCTCCGTGGGTGGCTTCCATGTCACCCCAGGGACTCTGGTTCCTACCTCCCAGCTGCTAGACCTTTACAACTTCTGCCACACAAGATGGATGTCCTTCCCCCAGGCTGTTCGCTGTCCTCACAGGGGGCTGCACCGTGGCTCCCTCGTGGTAGGGACGGCTTATCATGACCCCAGGACTGTGCTGGGCCCCAGGACTGTGCTGGGCCTGGGCCCACACATCCTGGGGCTGGTGCCTCGGCTCCCCCAGCATAGGGACCAGAGGCGAGCTGGGTCTGAGTGGGAAGGAGCTGGACATGGGCCACCCCTCTCCTAGCTCCCTGGGGGTGGCGTTGGATAACAGGGCCCCCGGCTGGCCTAACATGCGAGTGGCTGTTCCCCCCAGTGCACTCAGAAGGCTGTCCCCTCCGGCCTCTCACAGGCACGTTTGTCTCGGCCTTCGCGGTGCTGTGCGGAGCCCGCACCGACCTCCCGGACAGGCACGTATGCTGTGTCTTCTGGCTCAACATCGCAGCGGCCCTCATCCAGACCCTCACGGCCATCGTCATGGTGGGCTGGATCATGAGCATCTTCTGGGGCATGGACATGGTCATCCTCGCCAGTGAGTAGCCACCCGTGCGTCGGGGGCTGGGCTGGAGGAGGGGCCGGTGCTGGATGGTCTGGGCCGTGTGGTCCTGCCAGGGGTAACACCTTGCCGGGAGGTCTCCCCCTCCCCGGGGCCGGGCGCTCAGGATGGCACATCTGTGTGCTGGTTACGGGAGTCTGCAGCTGCCTGGCAGAGGGGACCCTTCCCCTGTCCCTGACCCTGACCCTCCGCATGCCCAGCCCCATGCCTGCAGGGAGTCCTGAACCCGAGGGTGTGAATGAGACAGGATGGAGCTTCTGATCAGCTCAAACACCTTGGGCATCCTCCTTGTTGAGGGAACAGCCCCGGACCACCCTGGGAAGCCGGGGTGCGGTCCATGTGCCTGGTGGCCCCAGCTTCCAGAAAGAAGGAGAACCCACATGGTCTCCCTGCCCATGGGAAGCCCTGTAACTGGGTTGTTGTGTTGTTTTGTTTGGTTTTTATAGCCAGACGGCACGGTTTTCTCCTTCCTTTGACCTAAGTGTGGCTCCTTCTTGAGGGGACCTTCGCCCGTCATTTAGCACAAACTTGAGTCAGACACAGAACTGTTTTGAGAAAGTGCCTAACGTTACAGAGCTCACCGGATGGACATAACATCTGTGAAGTAACCTTGAGCTCTTAGAGCAGACACTGCACGTGGCCGGCATTTTCACATGTTCTGTCCACGCCGCCGTGGACTCCCACGGGCAGGACCGCATCCCTTCAGGCACGCCGTTGCCCTCTCTTCATGCCCTAGGCACCTCCCGGTGTCCTGTGCAACAAAGCCCCTCCTGGGCTGGCCTGTCCGTGCCAGAAGGTGGATGGGAGTTATGGGGACCGAGCTAGAACGATCTAGAATGACCTGTAGCTGACTCCCTCTGGGTTCAGGGTCCTCAGGGGAGGCAGGGCACACACAGCTGCCAGGCCAGGCCAGGCCTTCGGTCAGTGACCAGTCAAGCCACAGGCCAGAAAAAAATGCAGGCCCCGGAGCCCAACTGGGGTCCCCTGGAGCCAGTTGATTGGGCAGACTGGCCACCTGGAAGCAGGACATCCAGCAACAGAGGTCTGAGAGGCAGTGGCAGACCCTGGGAGGCTGGGGCCAGCCAGAAGAACAGGAGGGGACCAGCAGGCCTGGCCAGGAGCTCTGGGGGGGGGGTTTGGCCCCGGGGGGGGCTAGGCTGCAGAGGGCTGCTCTCAGGGCAGGCACAGGGAGGCTCTCAGGGAGGACCGGGACCTTGGGAGGGGAGCAGGCAGAAGAGTCAGAGACCCAGGCAGGCCTGCTATAGGCGCCTCGCCCTGTGCCCGGGACCAGGGACTGCAGAGCCTGAGGCTTCCCGGGGGCCTGTGCGATGGCCCCCTGCCTCCTGACCCTTTCCCATTTGGGACCTGGGGGCCTTGCTGTGGGACACGTCCTCAGCTGTAGTCGGAAGGCCTGACCCTGAACGAGGCCTGACCCCTTTGACGGCTTCCTCCCGCGTGACCCCAGTGTCTGGCCCGGCTCTTGGGCACCTGAAGGAGGAGACTTTCCCCTCAAGTGGAACGCACCTGTGTCACCCAGCCCCCTTTCAGTGAATGGGCGCCTTGTTCCTAGAGCTTTCTGGTTGTTTTTATCTTGGTCTCCCTTAAAACCCAGGGGTTTTAAACACCACAGGGTCTGTGTCTTAGAGATAACTGGAAGGGCCCCCGCATCAGGTCCTAGACTAGGAAGCATGGACCCCGACGAGTCAGATGGGGCCTCTTCCTCTTCCTCTCTTTGCATCACCCCAGACTGTGGGCTCAGCCGGAAAGCCTGGCCCTGTGGCTGGCACTGAGAGTGCAGCCAGGATGCTTGGTGTGAGAAGCTGGGTTCCCACCCCGCCCCTGGGCCCCGGGCCCTCGCTGTGGCCACTCAGCTTCTTGGATGTCTGCACGCTGGCTCCGGGGATGCTGGTTTTTTTGCACCAGACTTTTCAGACTTGGCTGCAGGAGAAAAGCCACCGCACCTCACCCCTGTCCCCCGGCTGTGCCGCTCGCCGGACTCAGCCACATATCTCGGCAGGGGTGACTCGTTCCAGAAAGTAAACCTGCCCTGGAAGGGTGTGTAATCACTGCTGTTGAGAGGCCGCTGCAGGCCGGGGTGGCTCTGAGGGACGGCGGAGCACACACGTCCCGTGGGGGTGGTGACTTTGCCAAGAGGTCCCACAAGGGACTCGTCTGTCCTAACCGATAGTTGGACGGGGGCTGTTCTTTCTGGGTTCACTCCAGCCCCTTGCTGCAAAAATGAAGGAAACCTCTCAGCTGCAACAGTAGAGGATGATTAAAAAAAAAAAAAAGGTTTTACTTATTTATTTGAGAGAGAGAAAGAGAGAGACAGAGAGAGCACAAGCAGGGGCAGTGGCAGGCAGAGGGAAAGGGAGAAGCAGACTCCCCGCTGAGCAGAGGGCTTTATCCCAGGACGCCAGGATCATGACTTGAGCGGAAGGCAGACACCTAACAGGTGAGCCCCCCAGGTGCCCCGAGGATGGCCTTCCACACAGCACTGGCCAGGGGCTCATCAACACATACACCATCCAGAAAAGCCGCTAAGAGGGCGAGCAGGGAATTCCAGACCTCAGCAGACGTTAAAGTCTGGGACATAAGCAAGCCACTGTGTTGATAATAACAACGAGCCCACCACCGTCTGTCCTGGTCGAGGATGGAGAAATACGGGGTAGTTCCCCGCGCTCTCTGCCCCACGTCCACCCCAACATGACACCATCTGCTTACATCTGTGTGTTCTCCACACGGGACTTCGGCGCCTCTGCCGGTCCATCGGGGTATCTGCAGAAGGAGATCTGTTTGCCTCTGTCTGTCCCCAGGCATTAGGGACTCCTGTCTCTAGACGGGGTGACCACACAGAGCCCGGCTGGGGCCAGGAGCATCTTAACCTCCTGAGCATGTCCCGCAGCTGTCCCCCCGCAGGTGCACCTAGCACACTGAGCCCCTCCGGGGCCCGCGGCCGGCTTCTCCAGGCAGTTGGGGGTGAGCCCAGAGCGAGGGTCAGCAGGTGGCCCCAGGGGAGGAGTGGGCTCGGCTGAGTTGTGGGGCTGCAGGCTGTGAACCTGGGGTGGGGAGAGTTCTGGCCACACGCCCCTGCCCCAGCATCCACCTGCTGGTCCCCAGGGCCTGGGCAGAGCGTTTACACATCCTGATGCTTTTTAGACTTCCGCCAGTCCCTCTGGTCTCTGTTTTCACCCTGTTTTCTTTTTCTCTTTTCCTCCTCTCCCTCCTGCGGCCTCACATCCCTGTGTTGCCCCCCAAGTTTCCCAAGGTGAGTCTGCTGGTGGGCGCAGGGCCCCCAGCCTGGGCTGCCGCCCCGCTGCGCGCCACCCTCCCCAACACGTTCACTCCAGCGGGCCGCCGGGCTTTCGTCTTGTTTTTGATTTTTATCTATTTTCTTTTATTTTTGTGTTTCTGTATATCCTCTTTGTGTTTTTGTTTGGTGGGATTTCTAGCTGTAGTGTGGAAAGTATTGAGGTGTAGACAGAAGTCTGGGGCCTCGCACACTGAGCCCCTCGGGGCCTGCAGTGGCTTCAACAACACATGGTCACTCCTGTGTCATCTGTGATGTCATCTTTTTTCTGCATTTCCCGCATATGTTTTGGACTTAAAATTGGTGAATAATTTGGTAAATAATGAGAGAAAACAACCGTTAGGTCCTCAGAAACTCCTCTGGAGCTAAGTTGCCAGCTCTCAGTGGGGTGGGAGGCATTTCGCCAATCCCAAACTCATAACTTCATCCCTAAATGTTTCAGTGGCTCAGTTTCCCCAGTGGTCTTGTGACAGTCAACAGTGTTTTAAAGGCTCGGAGTCCTCGGTCATGTTTGTCTGTGTCCCAGACGTCTGGCTGATTGAACAAACACATGGTGACGGTCTTCTGTGTCCTGTCTTGCTGTTTTCCTTTCCGTCCTCCTCTCTGTCCACATGTCCCAGGTGCCTGGTGCTCGGGGATGGAGGCCCACCCGGCAGTCTCCTGGGCAGTGGTTTCGGGGCATGTCGATCACCGTGTCCCGCACCCCCCATCCCGGATGCCCTCCTGTCCCATAACCCCACTAAACCCAAAGTTCCACAGTTCTCCCTGCATCTTTCTGTTCTGGTTAAAAAGCCCATGCCCTCCAGAAAAAGTGGACCCTGAGTATAGCAGCCATTCACACTTTAGTGTGAATAAGATTTCATGACCATATTGCAGTTTACAGGCACCTCCTGGAGAAATCCTGTAGGAAGTGCGCATCTCATTGTCTCTCCTCTTCTTCTTCCACACAGGCTACAAGGAGCAGGGCATCCCACAGCAGCTGTGAGTCGAAGGCACTGCCGAGAATTCCAGGGTGGTCCCATGAGGGCTGCGCCAGGCTGCAGCGGGCACCAGGACCTCACTTGCTCTTCCGCCATCTCCCGGGGTTGGAGTGGAAGAGGGGGATTTAAAAAACATTATTTATTTTGAAAACGCATCTGCTGTTCTTGGCAGGCTGCGAGGCTGCCAGCCCCTCCCCCTGCTCCAGAAAGACGCAGGCCCCCAGAGCATCTCAGGTGGGGTGGAGGGTGGGGAGTCGGGGGCGGGATCACGGACAGCAAGGCTGGGATGCTCGGCTTGCCCCTGCCCTGCACGTCTCCCTGCCCCCTGCCAGGGTGCCCCAGAGCTGCCAGGCAGGGGCAGGGTTCAGTGGACCCTTCCTCTGGGTCCCCAGCCCCCATCTGAGTGTTTGGTCTCCCTGGGGCTACGCCAGGGCAGGAGTGAGCCAGGGCAGGAGTGAGCACTCAGCCCGGTGTGGAAAGGTCTGCTGTGCCCTCCGCCATCCCAGGGCTGCCTGGGGACGGGTCCCCAAAAGTCTTTCCTGGCCCTGTGCTCCCTTACTGCAGCCTACCGTTCACCCACCCCCCTCCTTGCCACTGAAATCTCTGGGCCTGGGTGTGTTTTGAGCTTTGTTTACCGACTCCATCCCTGGGCAAAACGGCTTGCCAGGTGTGCAGACGCAGGCTCCCCAGTGCAGGTGTGGGCGAGCACAGGCCTGCTGAGCCTTCACATTATACACAATACCACGCCTGGTCCATAGTCCTCCTAAAATCCATGGGGCTGGATGGGTCTCCGAGTTCAGAAAACGTGTATCTGAGACGGAGTAAAACCCATCTACCATGCGTTTCCTAACACCCCTGCAGTCCGGGGCACCTCCCGACTGCCAAGCGCATGACTGATTTTGCAGAGAACCCTGTGAAACGTCAGACTAATTGGGATTAATAAAACCATGAATAGCGTCAGCTTGCTTGGTTCAGGTCAGATCTTGGCCTAAATAAGTTATGGAAGAAAACTTAGCATTCGAGAGCTTTTGGGAGATTTAGAATTGAAAAAAAAATTGTCTGGGGTGGCGGACTTGTTTCTGAAAATCCCTCTTGCAGGGCCTGGGACTCCTGCTGGAGTCACGCGGGGATTCCTCCCTTTGCAAAGGGGTGGTGGGGGCCTTCACAGCGCCTGCCTGCATGGTTGTTGGGGAGTTGGACCCTGGTGGGGGAGGGACTCACGGGAGGTGTTGGGGCCACTGCGGGTTGGGGATTGCTCTGAAGTGAAGAGAGAGGCCATCCAAAGTCACGGTGGATGTCTACACGTCTGTTTTCATTTGCTTCCTAACATGGGAATGGCAAAACTGGGGGACTGGCCCAAAGCTGTTTACAGAACCCCTTAGACTCCCCGGGGGAGGGCTTTTCTTGTCTGTCGGAGACTCAGAGTGTGGCCAGGGCTGGCAAGGTGCCCTGACTGGCCTTTTCCTGTCGCTGGGTGGGTGTGCTTGGGGACCCTGCCGCTGGACAGGCCTCCTTGCTCCCTAAGCCCACTCACCTCCCCTGCTGGGCTTTCTGATTCTCGCCCTGCTGGGGACGTGGGCCTTGGGCTCCCTGTGGGTCGGGTAGCTCTGGGCCACCGTGGAGACCCAAATCCCCTGCCCAGAGCTCGGCTGCACTCTTTGAACAGCTGGCTGTGTCTTTCTTCCTGCCCCCCTTCCCTCCCGACCCCAGCCAGGCCTCTGCTGCCGCTGCTGCTTCTTTTGTGCTTGGAATCCAGTGCGTTTTCAAGGCGTGGGACCAGCTTTGGTTTCATCCAGAAAGCCAGAGCCTTTGAGAGTGTGAAGATGGCATCCCCTGCCCGGTAGACAGCAGGTGGCTGCTGGTGGCACCCCGGGAGGCTGTGTCAGTGTGGGAGCCTCCCCTGTAGCCAGGTCGGAGGAGCAGCACCCCGCTGCCCTTGGCCCCCACATGCTTGAAGGGACCACGGGGAGGGACCATGGGCCTCGGGCGCAGCCCCCGAGGTGGAAGCAAGGATCTTGCATTCCCTGCTTGGGTGGCTGCTGAGGGGGACAGAAGAGAGAGCAATTTATGGGGCGTGCTTAGTGGTGATCCAGACCCGGTGGGGGTTTCTTGAGTGAACCCTGGTGTGGGATGGGTAATACAGGGGTTTGTGGGCTCAGAAGGACGGCTCCCTTCGGCTGCCAGCTGCTTCCGAACTCTAGGGGATGTCAGCCTCCGGAGGAAGCCCTTCCCGTGGAGCTGATGTGTGCGAGGATGGGGGCACACCCGTCCTCTGAACCCCCAGTCTGTGACAACAGCTGCGTGGGAGAGTGGCTTGAAACAGCAGCTCTCTACATGAAACTGTGGCCTTGGTGTCACCGGCTGAGACGAGGGACAGGGGAGGTGAGGAAGGGCCCTGCAGAAGGGTGCCTTCCCTCTGCCGCCCCCGAGCCACATGTCAGCCCCGACGACAAGGACAGCCTCCAGGTGTTGGGCCCTTGCCAGGCTCGCTGTGGCTCCTTGGACCGCCTATGACCTTTACCAACAATCCTGGCAGGAGGGACGTGAGTATGCAGAACTTCCAGAAGGCAGGGCTGAGGCATTGGGAGAACAAGGCCCCGAACACGCAGCTCACAGTCTGTGGCAAAGCCTTGCTGCAGAGGGGATGGGATCTCTGGGCCAGAGGGGCTCTGGATGGCCTTGCCACGCGGAAGGAGTAGGTGATAGGAAAAGCCTCCTCAGCAAGGACTGGACGGCTCCACCACACGCCGTCCTGGGCAGCCCGCCAAACCACAGCCCAGAGCAGGAGTGGGAGCGGGCAGAGGATTGCTCCCAGCCCTCTGACCCCCCCGCCCCGTCCCAGAGGCTTGGCGGGGACTTCAGCCTTGTGCAGACGCCACGAGGACCGAGGAGCAGTGGGGAGCATGCGAACTCGAGAGGGTCGAGAAAGCCACACGGTCCGAATTTCCCCAGGAAGGACAGGGACCTCAGGAAAACCGAACACTGAGCCCCGAGGCCCCAGAGAACACCTTCCAGAGTCCTGAGGCGCTGGAGGAGGAAGCCTGGGGTCCACAGAGGTGGTCCTTCTGCGCCAGCCCAGCTTTTTAAACCGCCCCCGAAATCTACTATGTTTTCTTTAGTGAACCCCATCCCTGAGCAGATGGGGACGAGTTTGTGAAGCCCACTTGGGGGATGGGGCGGGGCCAGCATGGGGCGGGTCCGATGTGGGGCCCCATCCTGTCCCCAGCCCAGAGGCCTTCATGACCTGGAAGGTTTTCTCTGGTGGTGATACGGGCTGCCCGGGCCTATGGAATTGGTTTAGGGATGACTGACCTTGATGTGTCCCCTGGTTGGTGGCGCAGGCCCTTGTTGGCTCCTGTGGTTGGTTTGTTTGGGAGGCTTTCAACGGAGGGACTGGAGGCAGACAGGCACCCTCGGAGGTTCCCCAGCCGCGTTGACCGTCCCCCAGAGACTGGGACCTCGCAGGGGCGGGGGTGCTGTGTGAGCTGCTCCCCATGAACCCACCTGAGGCTGAATGGAGCCAGGGCTCCTTATACTCAGGGATCCCCCAGGCTGGCGCCAGGTGGCTCTTGCAAGTGGGGCCTTGTGTTCCTTTGTGTGTGCAGCAAGCACTCAGCGGGCCTGAGGGTGGCTTCCAGGGGGCAGCTCCGGGGCCGCCTCACCTGCCCTTCCCTCCGCGCAGGTGGAACAGCAAGGTGAGTGGAGGCAGGAGGCCAGGCTGTGGGAGGGGAGGCTGGGGGCTGCCTGAGCCAGGGGGTGCTGGTTGGGGTCCCGCGATTCTCACCTGTTGGGTTCTGAGAACTTGCGAACGTCCGTGGGATACGGAGGCATGCAAGCGCGGCGCGGCTTGCCAATCTGCCCTAATCTAATCCCTGTGCTGATGGGGAGCCCCGTGCCCCAAACACTAGGGCAAGTTCCAGCTCAGTGCTTTCTCTCCTCCCGTCTTGTGCCTCAGCTGGACCATCTGTACGCCAGGCAGCCAATGCCAGTCCCATTTCTGTCAGAGCAGAGGCCTTGGAGGATGGCCCCAGGGCTCCGCAGAGGCAGAGGCAGAGGCCACGGGCCCCATGGACTGGGAAAGGGCCACACCGGAGCCGGGACTCTTTCTAGTGACAGACATGGCGCTCTCTCCCCTCCTGATTCTGTCGCACGGGCAGGCGGATGACAGGGCCATCTTTGCAGGTGTCCTGAGTTTCCAGTACAAGTTGTCTCTCTGGACTTAATCCCCAGTTCTGTCCCTGCCTGCCTGGATTTGCCAGCATGCCAGCCACCCCCAGGCCAGGCCACTAACACCCTAGGCAGGTAGAAGCACAGACATATGCACACTCCCTTACACATGTATGTGTACTCCCCGCCCCCCCAACTCATGTTCACAGCCCCTCCAGCTGCTGGGTGAGGGCAGGACTCAGGGTTGGGACCTTGACATCCAGAGAGGGTCCCCTCACATCGCCCAGGAGCCGTTCCTCCAGCGTGGGCCCTGGCAGGTGGCACTTGTCCTCATCACCCAACACAGGGCTCAGATGCACGCAGTTCCCTTAATCCCGAAGGGCCGCTGTGCCTGGAGCCCTTCCTCCCAAGGTCCATGGCTCCACACCCCCAGCCACCAAACCTGGCTGGCCTTCGTGGGAGGAACGACATGGGTCTCCCAGAGAGAAGGGGACCATGATCCCTTTCTGGGCTCTTCTGTGGCTGTAGATAGTCCTCCCCACCATCCCCCCCGCCCCCCCACCCGGTCTCAGGATGTGAATCAGTGAGGAGAGACAGGCAAGGTCATACCCACCCCACTTTCTGGGTGAGCATCTGGCTAGTGTCCCAACCAGGGAGATGTCGGTGGTGGCCATAAGTGACCAGGGCCTGCCATGGGAACACTTGTTTGGCCCTTTGCACGGGCTAGGGTAAACGTGCCATTGTAAATGGTGCCAAATTTTTGAAAACAAAGTACATTAAAAAAAAAAAACACTGATTCTGTGCATATTAGCTGAATTTATATTTGGATGAGTGTTGTGCTGTGATTTATAGTTTTCAATACGTGAGCGACTTTGGGTTTCTCTTCCTCCTGTTGAAAGAATCACTGTCCATTTCTCTTGTTCTCTGTCAAGACCCTCTCCCAAACCTCCCAGGGCTTCCTCATTTTACCTCTGTCCAGACCCATGGGGGTCACCCCCCACCCCCAGCCGCTGCCCCTGGGATCCTCGCCGGCCAAGGGGTTCTTCAGCCCATCCCAGTGACTGGAGCCTCCATCGGTTATACAAGAGGAAGAAATTCTCCAGCTGGGGACCTAGAGAAGCTTCCAGACTTGCAGTCTGGGGCCTAGGCCAGTCTGTGGCTCGGCCTTCTCCGCACCCTCAGAACCCAGCCCCCACCAGTCCCCCCTCCTGACTGCCACTGGCTAGGTCCTCACAGCCCCTGGAGGTGCAGGGCAGGGTCCCGAACTCCCCGGCGCCTCACCAGCTTCGGAAGTCCCAGCTCAAGCCCCGTGGTCATCCGTGTAATAGGAAACAGCATGCATGACCGTCTAAACCTGTGTGTACATATCTCCGTACATATTTATATTCTGATTATAAATATACAAAGCATGGCATCTCTTTGGCATTCCAAGTTTGTGTTTTTTTAAATCCTGGAAATACGGCT